AACCCTACACCACGTCAGACAAATGGTTATCCAATCTCGCCTTAAAAACTTCCAGTGTTGGAGCATTCACAATTTCTGGAGACAAGTTGTTCCACTTATTAATTGTTCTAACTGTCTGGACATTTCTCCTTAGTTCTAGGTTGCTTCTCTCCTTGATTAGTTTCCACCCATTGCTTCTTGTCCTGCTCTCAGGTGCTTTGGAGAATAGCTTGACTCCCTCTTCTTTATGGCAGCCCCAGAGATATCAGAACGCTGCTATCATGTCTGCTATAGTCAGAGGTGATTGATATTCAGCAGTTCTGGAGAACTTGTAGCAGAAATTTTGAGTAGTTCGGACAACCAGCAAATATCACCTCTGACTGGCCCCACCCCCATCTATTCTCTACCTCCTGAGTCCCAGCTCATCGGCTGGGTCTTCTTTTGTTGCCTTGCACAGGAGAACAGAGCTGGTTAGTGGGGTGGGAAGAGAACGGGATTTTGCAGTAACCTTCCCCCAGGAGTGGGGAGGGAGTGGAGATTTTACAGTATCCTTCCCCTGCCACGCCCACCAAGCCATGCCCATAGAACTGGTAGTAAAAAAAAATGAATCTCACCACTGCTTCTAGTCCTTCTTTTCATTAAACTAGACATACCCAGTTTCTGCAACCGTTCTTTATATGTTTTAGCCTCCAGTCCCCTAATCAAGAAATTCATGTAACAAAAGTATGACTTTCTTCCCAGCAAAGAAAAAGAAATAAAATGTGTACGTTCTTAGTATTTTAGTGGCTTCTACCCTTTCCACTTGTCAGTTAAGAGACTTTCCGTGTGCCTTCTTTCTAGCATTCTTTTACTAAGCTCCATTTTAAGCATTGTGTGCCCTGCTGCTGATGGGAGAAGAGGGTCTCCACTAGCCCAAATGGTGGTGTGGTATGTTGGGAGAATCCTGAGGAACAGGTCAGCAATGTCCATTCGTTCTTTGTAAAATAAAGCTAAGAACAGTCAAGATTCAGAGTGTTCTCTTCCTGGTCCACTTCATATTTGGGACTACCATGTGACTCCAGTCTTCCCTGGTGCTGGCTTCCCAACTGCCACTTCTCAAATGTGTTCCTTATTCTTTATTCCTAGGGCAGAGATCTCCAAACTTGGCAACTTTAAGACTTGTGGACTTCAACTCCCAGAATCCCTCAGCCAGCAAAGGTTTGCTGGCAAAAGTTTGCTGGCTGAGGAATTCTTGGGAATTGAAGTCTACAAGTCTTACAGTTGCCAAATTTGGGGACCCCTGTCCTATGGGAATCAGTCACTGGCCAAACTTGAATTTCACTTTCAGAAACAATTGTCCAATATGTTTCAGCTTCTTGGTAGGGATATGAATAAGTGAATTATTGTGTCTGTACCTTTCTCTTCTCTATCCCAATTTGTTATCAAAGACATATATTGCTTACTTTCAAAATATGCAATGCTTAGGACATCCCACCATTCTAAAAAGAGGATCCCATAAAGGAAACTTGGAGTTCCAGTTTCAGAATCCAGTTTATCTGAACTGTTAGCCAAAAGAAACCCAGCAAAAAACAATCGTACATCACAAGTTGGAGGAAAGGCCCACACAATAGGTTCACGATTATTACGTCCTTTGTAATCCTCCCCCCAACATTACTCAGCATGCAGACTGAGCCAGCCTGTAGGTGGCCTAGCTATTGGCAGGATGAAATGTCTTATGCCAAGTCAAATTTGAAGCTGTAACTCAAAACATTATTGCCATTTTTAACATTCTGCTTGCATGAGATTTCACTCTGTCCCTCCCAGTTCCTGGTCAATCCCTTGCTCCCCAAAAGGGCTTTGGCTCAGTTAATTTGGGTCAGTTAATACAAACAGGCAATGCATGTGTTTCACAGTTCTCCAGGTAAGGAAGCAAAGGTTTCACGCCAGTGCCAGGAGGAACCTGTCTCTGCTTTTCAGTTTTAAGGGTGCAAAACCTGAATCAGAAAATATGAAAAACAAAAAAAAGGTGGGATATTTTTTTAATACACCTTTGGGATCCTAGTAAATGGATATTATAGAGGGAGATGTTCAGGCATCTATTTTCCCTCATTATCTTCCAGGATTTTGACAGTAAAAGTTTTAACAGGATTTCAAGTTGTCCCAAAGGTGCTTTCCCCACCCCCACCCACCCCCCGAAGAGACAACTGGACTTTCCGATTTTTCTTTGAAGACGTTTCACTTCTCATCCAAGAAGCTTCTTCAGCTCTGAAGAAGCTTCTGAAATAAGAAGCAAAATGCCTTCAAAGAAAAACCAGAAAGTCCAGAGCTGAAGAAGCTTCTTGGATGAGAAGCGAAACGTCTTCAAGGGAAACCCAGAAAATGTAGTTGCCTCTTTTCTTTTCTTTTTTTGAGGCATCTTTGGGACAACCATGACCTGGATGACTGAAAATTTCCATAGACAGGATTTCATCTGAAAGCTTTAAAAGAGAGAGAGAGAGAGACTGAGAATAAGCTTTGTTTTGCCTCTAAAGAAAAAGGAAGAATTATCCTAGATCAAGTTCAATCTCTTCTAGCTAGGGCTCCCCTCAAGTTTTGAGAAGCTGAAGAGGTCAAGTTCTCAAGAAGCTCCCAAAACATTTGTTAGGGAGAATAATAGGCCGATCTCAAGACCTGTCCAGAGAGCTTTGGAGTCTAAAGAAGGAAGTACGCTCGTACAGCCTTCCCTTCTGTTCCCTCAAGAGGGTAGATAATGCTGGAGAATCCAAGCTACAGATGAACGGGATTCTCGCCTGCCACGTCCAGCCAGAAGCAGCGGACGGTGCGTGCCTGCCTTGGCCATCCTCGCCGCATCAGTTGAATTGACCAAGCGTGAAAGTGGGTTAGAGTGGGGGGGGAGGAGAAAGCAAGCTGCCCGCTTCCAGGGTACCAACGCTCATCAATATTCCCAAAGCTCAATTTTCAACCCACTCACCCCCCCCCCCCCCCCCATCTTCCTGAACACACGTCCTACTGTTCTGCGTGTGCTTCCCCCCTCTTCCCAAACTTGACTTGGTAGACTCCTCCCCTTTCCTTAACTCGCTGCGATTTGCCAGTGGAGTACACGCTTTTTCCCCCCCTAACTTCGTCTCCCTTTACTTTATTGTCACACACCAAACCCCCCTTTTTATCTCATTGGTATCTTCTGGGGAAACCTTACCTTTGCCCATTTGCCCCTCGGAGGACTCCAATTTTGAAAAGGTGGGTGCGTTTATTAATTTCCAATTCTGTACGTTCTTTTCTTCGCTTTTCTTCTTCTTTTTTCCCCCCTTTCCCTCCCTGCCCGGTTGGATGCGAGCGCACCTTGGCGTTGACTCGTTTCCCTTTCTCGGGATTTAAAAGACAATGAGAAGGAGGGTGGGAATGCTCTGGATCTGGGACGTGGGGAAACATTGAATATCTGGTTTGGTTGGGTTTTGTTTTGTTTTTTTAAAGCAAATGCTTATGAGGCTTTATGCTAAAATTGTATTTTTGCACAATGATGGACGGACAGTGGGATTTTCCCGCCTGGCATCTGAAGTGGGTAGAAATGAATATTTAATCACACGGGCGAAACAAAAGGACCTGATTTTTGAGTGAGTGCGCTTTATTAAAATCTGTCGTTTTCAGGAGTTTGAGAAGAAGACGAAAAAGAACAGGATTGTTGAGTGAAGAGTGAAATCCCAAATGCATAACTCGGTGTAGATATTATCATTTCTGGTCTGTTAGAATATTTACTGAAGGAGGCTTAAGCAGTTATTAGCAGTAATTTTCAATTGTTTTGAATCTGCGGCGCAATATTGAATATAGCAATAGTTCTGCATCATGTCAGAAAATTATTAATTGTGTATAGTTATTGGCTTGAGGGGAGATTCTACATCTTTTGTTATTATACACTTAAGGGTTAAGAAATAAGACAAAAATCTAGTGGTATGCTAGAAATAAATCTGTGACACACCTGCCATTGAACCATATTAAAGAGAAATCTTTGACTGAAAGTAAACTTGATTTAAATCAATGAGTTGTTTTTTTTAAAATGAAGACACTACGTGTCTACACATGTGGATGTGGATGTGTGACATGTGAGATTTGGTTTATTGTGATTTACAATAAAGCTGTAGCCTCCCTTATAAACACTTGTACTAAAATTGCAACTTTAAATTTTTAGTTGCCCTATTGGATTAGTAAAGTAACTACAGCATGCATCTGAGACAGGAATGCATCTCAGAACATTCTTCTAAAGTAGCTGAACATGTCAGAGGTGATATATGCCAAATAATTTCAATGGATCATGAGGAACAATGTTAAAAACCTAGCATAACTACTATAACATTGGCCTTTTCTAAGATTGCATTGCATCAAGGTAAATTTCATTCACCTTGTAGAAATTTAAGCCTATGCTTAAATTTCACGCACATGAGGCCTTTTAGGGATACAGTATTTTAGACACATTTGGGGGCATTACTGCAGAACACAGTGTTGGGATGAAAATGGCCAGGATTATTTAACTTTTCTTTTAGCCCACATGTCTTATGCACTAATGAGAATTATTCCTTTCTTCTGTGATCCAATGTAAAATAGTCACATATTGTCAATATCAGTAATCCAAATTCATCATGATAAGCTCACTGTTGTTTGATTTTGATTTCCATCCATACCAAGTTAATGTCATAATAACTCTGGATTTTTTAAAAATGTTGAAGCTAAATTTGCAAGTCAATGTTATGTCACTTTTGGCTTTTTGGATGGATATTGAAAAGCTAACTGCTGATAAGTATGAACTTGATTACTTATATCTCTATATTTTTAAATAGTCTATTTTTAAGAATGTTATTACAGAATGTGATTTTTCTTTTTAAAATGTAGCTAATTATAGAATAAACTCACAGTCTTTATTTTTTCTCTGTAGGTCTTATCTCTGGCCAAAAAGATTTTTTTTATTTAATTTTTTTTGTCCCTTGTTATTACTGGAAAGATTTTTAAGAACACAGAAAAGGGAGATTTTTTAAAAAAATCCTGAGACAGAAATGACTAAAGTTAACGGTGAAGATACAAGATCGGGGAATAGGATGGAGCGCTTCCAGCAAGGAGTCCGGAAACGTACTCTTATGGCAAAAAAGAAAGTTCAAAACATCACAAAGGAAGGTGTTAAAAGTTTCTTACTGAGAAATTTTTTTGTGATTTTCACTGTCATTGCAGTCATTGTGGGTGAGTAATTTCATCAAGAACAGAATCTTGAAAATTTTATTTGGACAATGTTATTGCTGTTCATTTCTCTTCCCTGCTGAGAATACATTGTTTCTCCAATTTTTTTTAGTCTGATCCTTCATGTTGGGTAAGCAAATATTTATTCTTTTCACAGTTGTAGTTCTGCCTGCCATTACATATGCCATCAGTTTAGACCTAAAAGGACCCAATTGGGAAGAAATTGCTTCAGCTGGTTAAAGCATCCTATTTTTAAATTATTCCTAAATTAATTCATTGCAATATCTCCTGATATTGCATTTCTATTAGAAATTGAAGAAAATCAACTACAGTCTTAGCCCATTCCCTATTTATTTTCCATCATTTCCAAGCTATAAATAATCAGACACATAGAAGGTCCTAATATCACTTAATCCTGAACAAACCATAGGAATAAGAATTTCATCTAAAACATTTAGTTCTCTTTCTCTTTTTTTAAAGGAGTTGAGCTCATGTCTCCAAGGTCATGTCTCACATATTCTGCTGGTGTCATTCAATCATTGAGGGGAGATTTACCTGGCAAAAATAAAATAAGGGGATTTAGTTCCATACTGTTTGCAAAGTGGATTACTATAGATCGCTGTTGGCAAAGGTTTAATATTTTGAATATTTCTTAGTTCAAAAGGAAAAGGGTTGGGTTAGGAAGAATCCTTGCTCCTATAGACTTTATAGCAACCTGAATCCAAAGATTTGTGCAACTTGTTCTGTGTATCAAGAACATGGGTTTGCATTTTCAAACGCACTGGATTTTCTATTTGCTGGTTTGCAAATGCTTTGATTTTTCTAAAAAAAAAATTTTTTTGACAAGGATAAGATAGGCATTGAGATGATGATGATGATGACTGATGATGAGTTTACCCTTCAACCAATGAATAGTTGGCATCTTTTTTCATTCAGGATTGCATGCATTCAACTCACGTTGGGCAAAGCTAAAGAGCTTCTTGAACTTTAGGCATTGGGCTTTGCTTTGCAAAAGAAAGTATTTTTATAAGAAGAAAAAAATAAACCAAGCAGAGGAAAGTATTTGAATAAACAAAAATAATTTCTATGATGTATAATCATAATCTTTATTTTATTTAAAGGGAGTATCAGGTACTTAGATAACATTAAAAACAAGGAAAGAATGTTTGCTTATTGTAATCAAAGGAACTAAGTTAGTTTGCTTCATAATCCACTGTATGAAAAGGACTTTAGAACTATTTCCCTAGAGACTTAGAGGAAGAGGAACCATTTTGGGGAGAGGATGTTCAAAACATAATGGTACAGGGTTTCAAAATCGTTTTCCAGGATCTCCTAGTACTTGCTTAACCTTACATCGCTGTCGGTTTTTATGGTTTATTGGGATCTGAATGCCTTCTGTATAAGCCCCACTGAAAAGAATGGGAACAGGCAAGAGAATGGTCATCTTGTATATATTACATTCCTTTCACTTGGATGTACAATCTAGATGTACTAAGGGAGAAACTGGGAAGTTCACCTAACCACATTACTTTCAATTGCAGACAGTGGAAGTGGATCTGACAAGAAATGAAGCATCCAATTAGTACTAGTAATAGTTAGTAAGCAAGCAAGTAGAGTCTTAAATAAAAGCTTTTCTTTATATCTTTATCATTTTACCAATATGAATCCCAAGAGAATACTTATTTTGTGGTGTCATAATCTGCGATTTCTAAAATTTAGGAACAAAACACATGCTGTCAATGGGATTTATTTCCAAGTGGACATATGTATTACTCCATGCATGGGAAATATATTCTACTGTAGAAATGATCAGAAAGCCTCTGTTTTATTCTTTGACTCAATATTTTAATAAGTACTCATTGCATTTAATATTAACAGCAGTTTTCTTACGGCAAGGGGTTGATTATGTTTAGAATTATGCTGAAGGTAAAGCCTTTATATCCTTCTCTAAATATAATTAATGGACAATAATTCCTGGATGATATTGAAAAATAATTCTAAGGATCCATTGTTGTGAAACATGGAAATAATCCCAAGAAACTATTTTGCTGAATTGATTGCAAAACCCTATCTATATCAGATTAAAAGATTGGTTCACAAGCTTTGTAATGGCAGCAAAAATTATAGGTATAACTTCAGTGGAAAAAAAAATCTGTGACTGCCTTCATAGCATTAGAAAAAGGAAATAGACTGAATAGCAGAAGACATACATTTATTTCAGTGTTACTAGGAGGTAAATCATCTATTTCAAGTGACAACCAAATTTGAAACTCTGATTATGTTGCCTCAGTTTTTTTTTAAATTGAAAGACTTTCCCATTTAAGGGAGTAAAGAGGAGGTCTTTTTCCTTGAATATTACTGCAAGAAATAACTAATGAAGAAACCATGATAAGAAAACAAAGTTTATAGGTATACATAGCACATGGGTAGGTGGAAAATATTTCAGAGGAGTTGCTGTTCCCTAGTTTTTCTCGTCAGTTGTATCTGGCAAAATATGAAATTTATAGTCTGAAAATGTAAAAAAAAAAAAAACACCTCCAGTAAACCAATGTATTTTGAAATGGAAATTAGAAGAGATCAATTTTAGAAAGTTTAATAAACGTGAGGTGTTCATGTCTTAGTCATTTCATGTCATGAAATGATGCTAATAGAATCGTAGGTTTTAGAATACATTTTCAGATGCATCTTTTCAAATATATAGGAATATGGAATTCGAGTAACATAAGTTTTTTGAGTAACCACATAGCAGTGTAACATACATGTGTATGTGTTTCTGTAAAATGACAGATATGGGTGTGAGAATACACAGACACAAACACATATAAGCAGTTTGGTGAATGGTGAATGTGTCCATTTCACAGAGGGATACATTTAAATGGCTGAACTTGGGAAAAGAGGATTTTTTGAACTGAGAACAAGCAGATCTAATGGCTATACCCTGAATGTAAATGATCCTTACAGAGAAGTATTGCAGTGGTTTAGAGTTGATAATAAAAGTTCCAATCTATGATGTCAGTGATGAAGGCTAGCGGCCTAAAAATTAAATATTCATTAGGGCAGTCTTCATTGCAATTGCTATGGGTGCAACTATGTGTTCTTACTGAACTAACTTTCATTAACCTTTACTCTGGACAAAAATTGTAGAGCAGAAATTAAGAACATATGGAATGCCTGTCAATTCCTTGTAACTGGATTTCGTACAGCCAAATAAATATCCGATGTTGCAAATATTGTGGATGGCATTGAATATCAATTCTAAAGCAGCTCGCTCTCTTGTAAACTTAGAAATACGCTAGGTGCAGGTTTCTGGCAACCTGCAACCATCCGTTTTCTTCATCTAGCTTAAGGAAAGGATTATATCACAGCCAGATATAACATCCTTCCATAGGTGCTACTAACTGGCAGGTAGGCCGATATGTCCCTGTCTCAGTATTCTTGCCCTTTTGATTCTGGGGAAATTGACACAATTCAACATGTCCTTTTTATTGTAACTTTTATAAGGATCTCCTAAACCTAAAGGATATCATAACCCCTCTTTTACTAAGTACACCTGGGAGAATGGATAGTTTTTACACCCTGAAACTTAAACCATGAAACCGCCTACACAGTGGCCAAATTTAAAATGAATTAAAATGAGACAAAAACTAACATCAAACATAAATGGATAATCCTTTTTCCTTCTTTTCCTTTTTAACTGGTTCTATTAGGTTGTATCTATTGCTGATGTCTGATCATAAGTAATTTGAATTAGAACTAACTGATACAAAGCAGCTCAAGGATAGGAGGAAAATCTCCCATGACATCAGAATTCAACTAGTAAATGGAAATTAGCAAAAAATATTATCTACGCTGTAAGTATAATAGAACAATAATAATATACTAGAGCAATTTGTAGAATAATATTAGCCCTTATATCGGAAAGAAGCTTGAGGTGATTCAGAGGGATATAGCAGGGTTCTCCAACTTGGTTCCCTGCTGATGAGTGATAAATGTAACACTTAGTACTCTAAACCAACAATTGGCCTTCAACAGATTGCCGGGTTATGAAATATGAAAATAAATATATTGCAGACAAAATAGCTGTACTGCACTTACAGACAGTACAATACTTGCTAAGGTGACACAAGATTTAACGTGTAAAATACTGATATATAGTTATTAATCTGTGTGGCCATGACAATCAGTTAAATTATAGTCTCTGCTTTCAAAAATAACTCAACTAACAATCTATGAACTATTCTCATGCTGCGTTTATTACAGTTCTGGAATATATGACCCTGAAATGGGAAGGGTTTTAAAAGTGAATTGAAAGACTTGCTTTAATGTAGGATCCAGTACTTGGGAGAAGTCTTTGTTGGGCTGATCCTGATCTTATTTTAATACCACTTTTGATCTGAACAGTAGCACAGACCCTTAAGTGCCTCAGGCAAACTTTCTCTTGCAAATGTTTAAAATATAGCATTCTTGTTCAGATACAGTGCTCTGCCAATGCATTAGTTGTTTTTAAGTAGCTGTGGACAACAAGAAATCCAGCAGGAGCTTACATTAAGAGCACTGATTACAGGAAAATTATCTACTTCTGCCAGACAACAGAAATATTCACTCATATCCACATGACAACAAAAACTCAGTCAAGAAACATGCCACAGATTAGCAATAGCACTTAAGACTTATATACTGCTTTACAGTGCTTTACAGCCCTCTCTAAGTGGTTTACAGAGTCAGCATATTGTCCCCAACAATCTGGGTCCTCATTTTACCCACTTTGGATGAAAAACTGAATCAACCTTGAGTCATCCAGAATCAAACTCATGGAATGAGCAATGAGTTAGCCTGCAGTACTGCATTCTAACCACTGCACCACCATGGTTCTTCTAGTCCTTGGTAGAGCAGCCATGAAGGTCTTGGAAGATATTCAAATGTCACCTGTCTAATTCTACAAAGGTCACAATTTGTGCAAGCCATCATATTCCCTGCAACACTCTATGGAAGCAAAAGTTGGC